GCCAGGGAGATCCCAAGGAGACCCAGAGCTCGCATCTCGTTACCAAAGGGGCAAACTGACCATGCAAGGGTGATTGCCTGTCTGAGGGCCCAGAACCCAGACGTTCATACAGAGAACTGGACCATCCTCAGAGCAGAGTTGGAGATGAAGGCGAGCCAGCTGATAAAACAGCGCTGTCTGCCTCAGCTGGAGGCCAATAACCGCAAGGTCCGGTACGGCATCAGGAATGCCACGATAAAGGTCTTCTTGGCCGAGCCGGACGAGATTTTAGAGGAGGTCGATGACACCAACAAATTGTTGGACGACATGGTCAGCGACGAAAAATCTCCTGACGCCACCCCCACCAGTATCGATGTCGAGAATCGTGCAGATTAATCTGAAGCGCAGCTCGCACGCTTCAGCTAATCTCACGATCCTTCTAAGGGAGAGGGATATCGACATCGGTTTGATACAGGAGCCTTGGGCCAGGGAAGGGCAAGTCGCTGGACTAAGAATCCAAGGATACACACTACTGTGCACAAACTCGAATGGTAGGTCGAGAGCTTGCTTTGTAATTAAGAATCATTTTAATGCTTTCCTCTGTCCCAATCTCAGCACACCTGACGTAGCAGTGGCCAGATTCGTGGCGGCGGATGGGAGCGGAGTCACCTTATCATCTGCGTACATGGCCCATGATGAGCCGGCCCCGCCTGAGCCGGTAGTCAAGCTGCTGCAATGGTCGGAAGTGATGAAGACGACCCTGGTGCTCGGGTGTGATGCGAATGCGAGGCACATGCTCAGGGGGAGTTCGGATACTAACGAAAGAGGTGAGTACGGCGACCTTCATCTTTCCGAGCACGGAAATTTTTCAAGGTTGGGTAGAGGTGTTAGACCTCTCCTTACATATAGAACAGAACAATTACAGGGTCGAGAACTGGAGGATATCGACAGAACACTCCTTCTCAGACCATAGGTACATTTTCTTTGAAATAACGACACCAGTTAAGAAACAGGTGCCAAGAAAATCCCCCGTAAGACAGATTGGAACAATTTCAGCGAAATTGTCCAATCTAAAGTAAACGGCAGGAGGATCAAGACTATATCCACTGCAAAGGCACTCGACAAGGAGGTGGAGGACCTAACAAACATTCTGAACAACGCCTTCAAAGAGGCTTGGAAGCTAACATTCTCGAAGAAGCAATACCCAACGTGGTGTACAAAGGAACTAAGCGAGCTCAGAAGGAGCGCGAGAAAGCCTTTGGGGAACATATAAAGAACCACAAAAAATTTACAAGAAGGCAGTATACAAGGCCAAGAAAGAGTCCTGGCAAAACTACTGCGAGTCACTGGAAGGCATAAAGGACACGGCGAGAGTAAGAAAAATTCTCGCCAAAGAGCACATAAGCCCTACCCTGATCAACAGTGCAGACGGCTGTGCTACGACAACAATTGAGGAGTCACTAGAGCTACTAGTTGACACCCACTTCCCAGGAAGCCTAAGAGTGAGCTCGGAACCCGAGGAGGGAACGTTCACTCAAATGGACACACCTACGAAAGACATCATTACCACTGAGCGAATTCAGTGGGTAATAGATTCTTTCGATAAGTAAAAAAAACCCGGGCCCAGACGGCTTAATACCGACAATGCTACAATCAGCCAAGGATAGCATTTGCAAATGTCTAAAAGCCATTTACGAAGCTTGTTTAAGACTGACGCACATCCCGCTCCGGGCAGAAGGGGGCGCATCCTAGCCAACGATTATAGACCGATAAGTCTCACCTCCTTCACCCTGAAGACACTAGAGAGACTCCTGGACGTCCACATCCGAGAGTCTCTAGAAGGACATCAACTCTCGGATGCACAGCATGCGTATCGCAGAGGGAAATCTACGGAAACAGCGCTACATGTAGTTGTACATCATGTCGAGAAGACATTACAACACAAGCAAAACACAATGGCAGCCTTCCTAGACATCGAAGGCGCGTTCATTAACGTGAACCCCGACTCTATCCTGGGCTCCCTCAACTTGTTAGGTATTGAGAGAGGCATCAGAGAGTGGATCGGGGTCATGCTAAAGAGCAGGACGATCACGGCCGAACTAAGGGGCACATCTCAGGGCGGGGTTTTATCGCACCTACTCTGGCTCACAAATATGAACGACATATTGACAGATCTCAATACGGGTGGACTTAAAGCAGTTGCACACGCAGACGACGTAGTACTTCTAGTATCAGGACCATACTCTGACGTTATTAGCGAAATAATGACGGGTGCGCTTGGTCGATTAAATAAATGGGCAAAAACCTGCGGACTTGGTATCAACCCCACTAAAACGGAACTTATGCTCTTCACACGAAGAACTAAGTTACCACCCTTCAACATGACCAGTATAAACGGCATGGAGCTAAAGCTAGCGGAGCGAGCGAAGTATCTAGGAGTAATTCTCATGGAAAGAAAACATTGCAGAGAGAGTAAGGAAAGCAAGCATTCTACTCCTGCAGAAAAATGTTTGGGAACAGTTGGGGACTGCACCCAAAGATAATTTTATGGCTCTACACTGCAGTGGTACGGCCAATACTGACTTACGGAGCCCTAGTATGGTGTCCGGCACTTACTAGGGCCTACAAAAGAACGAAGTTGACACGGATGCAACGGGCAGCGAGTGCGGGGGCCGCGGGTGCAATGCGCTCATGCCCCGCGGGTGCTCTCAACGCTATCCTGGATATAATGCCGATAGAGCTGTTCGTGAAGGACATTGCAGCACAGAGCTCAGTAAGACTGAAGGCAAGCAATTGTTGGAGGGAATACGGCGCCGGGCACGGCAAGATCCTTGGAAGCAGCGGCATTAATACAGACGTTCAGACCGACAACATGATCGCGGAGATGAAATTCGGGGACGCATTCTCGAACTCATACCCATTAAGGGAAGACTGGAGTAGGGGCAAAGTAGTAGTGGAGAACGAGGTGTCCCTCTATACCGATGGCTCAACAATGAGCTGCGGCGTAGCGGCTGGGATCTTCGCTGAAAATTGGAGAATTGAAAAGGCTTTCAACCTCTCTAACTCAGCGACGGTCTTTCAGGCTGAGTTACTAGCCATAAGGGAAGCAGTCGAACTTTCCTTAAGGTAGGACCTCGTTTGTAAAATCCCTATCTGCCGTGAAAACGAACTCACGGCTAGTGGCAGAATGCAAGAAGGCCCTTAATAGACTTGCCGACAAAAATAAGGTACAAGTAACATGGGTACCGGGACACAGTGAGATCCCAGGAAATGAGAAGGCAGGCGAACTAGCCCGTGCAGGCTCGGCAGGGCTAAGTTCTGACTTCGAATTACCGATCTCCTTAAACGCGATCCAGACAAGGATCCGTGACAACTTTAAGCAGATAGCCAATAACGAATGGCAAAGTCAGAGCGATCACAGAAGGTCAAGGGAATGTTGGCCGAGGTACGACAAGAAACGAACCAGGGAACTGCTATCCAACAAGAAGAGGGATATTAGCAGGTTCACGGCACTCACCACGGGACATTGGGCGATCGGTTCGCACGCAATGAAGTTGGGAGTGCCATACAACGCAATCTGTAGAAGCTGTAAGCAACCTACAGAGCAAGAGACACCGGAACATCTGCTCTGCTTCTGCCCAGCGCTAAACCACATCAGATTCCGCCACTTTGGTGCCTACCAGATGGAGTCACTGGGAAACATAGGAAAGCAGAAAGTTTCAGCAATACTAGGTTTCCTTACTGACTCTGGATGGTACTGATAGTGAATCAACAACAACAAATAGAGGGAGTGGAACAAAAAGGAGCTTAGCTCTAATTGGAGGCCCCAGCAATGGGCTTCACCACTGTAACCTACCTAGCTACCTACGTAAGAAAATGTCAAAAATGACAGAAATCAAAAATTACATCGCATACATCCCCATTAACAATAACTGAAACACCCATGTTTTGAGGAGGGCATTAATTTATGCCACCTATTAAGCGAATTGATTTAGCGAGGGTTTGTTTTGTGTTGGCGTAAAATTAGTTATGTTTTAATTTGTGTGTGCTTGTGTGTGGTTTGGTTACAAAGGTTTTGTGTGTTTTTAGTTTCAACGTAAGTGAGCGAATGAATCGAGAGAATAGATAAACCAAACAGAAGAGCTGCGGCGGAAGAGCTTTCATGCCGGCTTATGAGGTGGAAAGCTTCTGGCGAAAGAAGACCCAATCAAAAAGTGACCAGGTGTAAGGACATCCAAATCGTTAGGGTTTTCTGAAATTGGACAGAGCGGTCGAGAGTTAAGCATCGCTGAAATTTCATAAACTAAAGTGCGAAGCTCATTGAATGAGAGAATAGTGTTGCCAACGACCCGATGAAAATGATATTTTGCAGATTTGACGGCAGCCTCCCATAGGCCGCCGAAATGAGGCGAACGAGGGGGAATAAATTGCCATTTGATCCCGATGGAAACGAAGGCCTGCTGAAGATCGCTGTTTTGAGGATCGGCGAGAAACAGTTGCCTCAGTTCCAGCAGCTCGTTTTTGGCTCCCACGAAGTTTGTAGCGTTATCGGACCATATTGTGCCAGGCTTGCCCCTTAGGCTTATGAAGCGCTTGAGGGCAGCGATGAATGAAGCCGCAGACAAATCCTCCACCAGCTCCAAATGGCAGGCTTTAGTGGCGAAGCAAACAAATATTGCGATATAGCATTTGACGGGTGGCCGGTTTCTGACTTCAGACTTGGAGTAGAAAGGACCACAGAAATCGATTCCCACTGTGACAAATGACTTGGCTGCACGCGGTTGGATGGCAAGGGGCCATGATGTGCTCAGCTAATTTGGGCTTTAATCGAAAGCAGCGAATGCATTTGTTGATAGTGGCGGCGACTATTTTTCGACCACCAATTGGCCAAAACCTTTGCCGTAAAGCCGCCAATAAGCTCTGCGGACCTGAGTGAAGAAATTTCAAATGATAGTGAGCTATGATTGCTGACGTGACTGGATGATCTTTGGGAAGCGAAATTGGGTGTTTTGCATCATAATCCAATAATGAATTCTGCAGCCGACCGCCAACTCGAATAAGTCCCGATTCATCGCAGATTGGATGCAGCGAGTACAGCTTGCTTTTTGAGGAAATCTGCCTTTCGGATTGCAGGGCCTTATACTCCTCAGCAAAGTTGATGAGCTGGATTCCCTTGATGAGCAGATGCGTGCCTCCCTTGATGTCGTCTACTGTAAGAGGTCCTCGCCGTCGTGGCTCATCCTTGGCTTTTAGCATTAGGAACCGATGTATGTAGCCAAAGACTCGCTGCAGCTTTCCAAAACAATTTTGAAACTTGCAGCCATACGAAATATCCTGGCTTTGCGTCAGCACCAGCGCGAGGCGGCGGCGTTCAGGCACATCTACTAGAGTAGGCGTATAAGGCGGCCAGCAAGCTTCGTCTGTCCGCAGGAATGGTGGGCCCTCACGCCACAGCGTCGAATCCAAAAGTTCGAGCGGAGTACATCCTCTAGATAATATGTCAGCCGGGTTGTAGTGGGTCGATATATGATGCCAAGCCATATCCTTGGTCCTTTCTTGAATCTGCGCGATTCTGTTGGAGACAAAAATGTTAAACTCTGATGGGGCCTGGCGAATCCAAGAGAGCACAATTGTTGAGTCAGACCAACAATGATATGTGCAAGGCTGAGAAATGGCATTAGCGATGTTGTGGATGAGTTCGGATAGCAATAGAGCTGCGCATAATTCAAGTTTGGGTATGGTTATTGTTTTAAGCGGCGAGACTCTAGACTTGGAGCAAAGCAAATGTGATGAGTAAGTGCCCCCTGCTTCGGAGCGCACATAAATACAGGCACCATATGCCGCCAAGCTTGCATCACAAAATCCATGAATTTCCAAAGATGAGTCAGATTGCATGATGAAGCGAGGAAATTTTAAATGGCTGACTGCCGAGATTTGCGCGGAGTGTTCCAACCATAAGGAATGCAAAGATTGTGGCAAAGTCTCATCCCAGTCGAGCTTATCTTTCCACAGGATTTGCAGGAATATTTTGAGCCTGGTTATGATGGGCGCTATAAGACCTAGGGGATCGTAGAATTTGGCTACGGCTGATAAAATAGACCGCTTGGTAGCTGGCTTGTCTGCTACATTTCCAGAGAATCCAAAAAGCAAATTATCGGAACTTGTATCCCAGTATAGGCCAAGTGTTTTGGCGACGTCAGTCCCATCACTGAATTTGAGCATTTTCTCGCGATCAGCCTCAAGCTCTCCTTCAAGCGCTGCCGGCTCATTGGAGCTCCATTTACGAATTGGAAATAGGCCTTTTGCAAGTAACGATTTAACCTGCTGCCGGATATAAACGACCTCCTCGATCGAGTCGCCTCCAGAAATAAGGTCGTCAACATAAAAGTCCCTACGCACGACCTTGGCTGCCACAGGAAAATCCTTCTCCTCATCATAGGAGAGCTGCTGCATAGCACGAATTGCTAGGAATGCAGCAGGCTTAGTGCCATAAGTGACGGTGTCCAGGGTGTATATTTTAATTTCTTCGCTTGGACTATCACGCCAGAGGATGCATTGGAGCAGATTATCAGGTTCGGAGACACGCACACAGCGATACATTTTGCAGATGTCGCCGCATAGTGCCACTTTAAAGAATCTGAACCGAACCAAAGTGCTGAAGATTTTAGGCTGAATGGAGGGACCAGCAAAGAGCAACTCGTTTAAAGAGTATCCAGACGAAGACTTGGCAGAACCATCGAAGACTACCCTGAGCTTGGTAGTCGAGCTGTCCAATTTGTGAACGCAGTGGTGGGGCAAATAATATTGCGGCAAAGCTGACTGCTTGCAAGAGAGCGACATATGGCCTAAATCGATATACTCCTTTATAAAGGCAATATATTGAGCCTTGAGATTAGGATTTCTAGCCAATTTGGATTCCAATGATTTGAATCGCTGCGAAGCACGATGGTATGAATCTCCTAGCATATCGAGAATAGTCTTTGCGGGCAATCGAACTGAATATTGGCCTGACTCAAGCCGAGAATAAGATTGAGCAAATAAATTCTCGCACAAGGCATCCTCATCAGTTGGAGCAGATGACGATCCACAATAGCTGTCAATTTCCCAAAACCGTTTAACAAGGTCCGGCAACGATTCAGGTTCCAATTGTACATCGTGCTCAACTGACAATGCGGGAAGAGAAGAGTGTTTATGGGCCGGCGAAGATATGCCAACGGATACTACCCAACCCAATCTAGTTTTTTGCAAGGAGGGAAGGTGATCGGCCAGCCGTATCTGCCCAACGCAAAGCAGGTCGAAGAAGATTCCAGCTCCTATATGAATGTCAATCCTTTGACTTTTATGAAAGAGCGGATCGGCGAGGAATAAGTTGTTGGGGATGTTCCATTCGGAAGAGTTTAGGTCGAAATGCGGCTGATAATTTGTGATGGTGCTAGTCATTATTGCAGCGAATGATGTTCGGTAACCTTTGTTGCGAGATTGTACAATAATATCTACCGCCTTATCAGCCATGAGTGAAGACTCTCCTATACCTGAGATGCATGTATTTGAGCGACGAGTTGACAGTTGCAATTGATGAGCGAGTCGAGAAGTAATGAAATTAATTTGCGATGCAGAGTCGAGCAAGGCTCTGCAGGGCACCATTATGCCGGAACGTTTTCGGACATATATGATGGCAGTGGCAAGAAGCACATAATCAGATTGATGATCTACCGAGGCTTTAGGTGGGGGTGAATTTGGCGAAGCAGAAATGAGCGAGGCACTATTTTGAGGAGCAGAAGTGGATGTGGGCTGCGAGGGTGATGAAGCATGATTTGACTCCAAATGTAGCAATGTATGATGCTTAGAGCGACAATGCCTGCAGTTCCCAGCTTTGCACTGCTGCAGGCTGTGGCCTTTACGCAGGCAATTTAGGCAAAGATGTAGCCTTTTTGCTTCTTTGTAGCGTAATGTGGGACTCAAGGCAATAAATTGTGGACATTTCGAAATAAAGTGATCCTTAGAATCACACAAAATACATAATGAGGTGTAGGATGATGCGGTGCAAGCGTTTTGGACATTTTTATTTATAGTTTTTCCCACCTGGTTGCTAGGTGTGTGGGTTACCATAGCATTTTCAATGTTTTCCATCATCCGACATCTCTTCTCCAAAAAGGCAGCCATATCCGTCCATTTTAGCAGCTTATTGGTAGGCAATCCCTCTTCCCACTTCTCCTGGGTATGCTGATCCAGTTTGGAGGACACCAGGGATATGAGCATTCCATCCGCAATCTCCTGGGTGGTTGCCATTGTGTTAAGGGCTCGCAGATGAGAGTTGATGCCGTCGCTCAATTGCCGCAAACTCCTTGCCGACCCTTTCACCACACTAGAAAGCCTGAAAATAGATCGTATGTGCCCCTGAAAATGCAAAAGTTTGTTATCAAACCTAGCAGTCAATAGGTCGACTGCCTTCTCATAATTGGCCTCTGTTGGCTCCAGCGAGCGAATTGTGTCTAACGCGGGGCCATCCAAACAGGAGCGTAGATGCTGGAATTTTTCCAAATTGGTCAGGTCCTCGTTGTTGCCGATGACTGTAGTGTACATAGCGTAGAAATCTGGCCAGTCCATATAAGCGCCTCCAAATCGTGGCAGCTTAAACTCAGGCAGCCTAGTGGCCCGGACACCAGCCCTGGAGGTTGAAGCCTGCTCGATGTTGAAATTTGGGAGTGCAGTCGAATTTATCACTGACACTCGGCGGAGTTTTGCTAGTTCGCGAGATATTTTGGATTTCACCGCACAATAAATGTTTAGAAATTTTGCACGCACATCACTAGCCAGCTCTAGTAGATTGAGCCTTTCGACAGCTGTTTGAGACTTATCAAAATTATCTTGCATTTTTTCAATAAGCTCAAGCCTGACTTGAAGGTCGGCCTCATCAAAATGAGACGCTTCTTCTGAACCGAAAAAGTCATTTAAAGCCACTAGCTGTCGAAAAACCGAGTCCGCTTTGGCTTTATAAAAGTCAAAATCACTATTGGCCCCGGATGGGCACGCAGTAACCGAATTATTCTCTGCCATTTTATTTTCAAAAAGAGTATTCAAATGTCACCTTGGGCTTGCGACCGATGCAGCTGTACCAAACGCAGAGAATAGAGAACGAAAGAATAGCGGAGCCAAGCTTGGCGTTCACTGACCGCGAGCCAACGGTTCTATCGGACCACCAAAACCAACAGCACAAACACAATTTTCACGAAAAGTATATAAAAGGGCTGCAACTATATGCTAGTGCACAAATATATAAAGAGATGCTATGTACTCGAATGTACCGATAGAGTTCAATAGCGATGCAACGATATGCAATTGTATTGTGTGAGCATACGAACTATATATAAGCACTTTTCACCTTTTATTTTAACGAAAACGATTTTTTACGCGATCACGTCGGGGTCACCAAATGTTTTGAGGAGGGCATTAATTTATGCCACCTATTAAGCGAATTGATTTAGCGAGGGGTTTGTTTTGTGTTGGCGTAAAATTAGTTATGTTTTAATTTGTGTGTGCTTGTGTGTGGTTTGGTTACAAAGGTTTTGTGTGTTTTTAGTTTCAACGTAAGTGAGCGAATGAATCGAGAGAATAGATAAACCAAACAGAAGAGCTGCGGCGGAAGAGCTTTCATGCCGGCTTATGAGGTGGAAAGCTTCTGCCGCAGCTGATCGCTTATTTACAAATAATGATTTAAAACATTTAATATTAAATCTGCTGCTTCTGCTCCCGACAACCCATAAATGTTTTCGACAGAGTGATAGTGGACACTATAGGTCCACTACCAAAATCAGAAAATGGCAATGGATATGTAGTCACGCTAATATGTGACTTAACAAAATAGCTAGTTGCCATACCAGTTGCAAATAAGAACGCAATTACTGTCGCTAAAGCAATTTTTTAATCTTTATTCTGAAGTACAGTCCAAGGAAGACGTTCAAATATATAAACATAAAAATATAAAATCTACCGCACACCACCACCAGACAGTTGGGACAATCGAAAGAAGTCATAGAACTTTTAATGAATATATACGATCCTACATATCGGTTGAAAAAACTGATTGGGATATATGGCTTCAATATTTCGTATTTTGTTTCAACACGACCCCCTCAATGGCACATAACTATTGTCCATATGACTTAGTATTTGGTAAAACGAGTAATTTACCAAAGGAATTTAATAGCATAGATAACATAGAAACCATATATAATATAAATGACTATGCTAAGGAGAGTAAATATAGATTAGAAGTAGCATATAAAAGAGGTTATGTTAGAAGAAAATAAGAAAAGAAATAAAATACTATATGATCATAAAGTAAGAAATATAGATATATTAGTAGGAGATAAAGTTTTACTAAAAAACGAGACAGGTCATAAGTTAGATCCTAAATACACAGGTCCGTATAAAGTAACGGAAATAGGAGATAGAGATAACATCGTAATAACAAATAATAAAAATAAGAAGCAAATAGTTCATAAAGATAGATTAAAAATTTTTATTTCATAAACTGTACTTAGTATGGCCTTGCTTAAATACACATTTTTTTTTAGTAATTTCATTTTCTTTGTTTCTAATAAATAATAAATTATAAATAATAAAAAATATAAATAATGAAAAAAAAAGAAAAAAAAATGTATTAATTAAAAATTATTATTATTAAAATAACTTCATTTTATTTCGTTATTTTTCAAAAGGAGGGAGATGTAGTATGCACTCATATTGAATACCCACTGTACCAAGAGTATTTTACGGGTACACACTGTACACACTTTGTTGCAGTGTTTACATAATTTAAAGTCCCGGTCATAAACCTAAGTGGCCGAAATATGAAACGATCATCGGCCGCACACAGGCTGTGCTAGTGTGAGCATAAATGCAACACGAGCGGACCTCATGTATGTATGTCCATATACCTCCACGCTTAGCTTTATTGAGCATAGCTATGTATTTAAGAATATATAACCGTCTCTCCGCTGCCGCTGTTGGCAGCGCAGCTACGAGACTTAGATTTCTCTAGCTGTTAAAACATATTGATAAGTACAGATATCCAATCGAGCTCGGAACGGCAACAAAGGCTGCTCTGGAATTAAAAAACCAAAATAAAATAAAAGAACAAACACAACTATAAACTGAATGAGTCCTATTCATTGTGGATTTGGATCGGGAGGTAATATTAATTTTACAGTTCTTGTTAGTTCCAGCCAACGACCACTATGTTGTCCAAATATGGCTTAATTTCCGGTTCTATTATCGTTCCTCACGCCCTTTGGAATGTCGCCGGTGCCGCTGTTAGTCCGAAATGCATCACCGTCCATTGGAAGAGCCCAATATCGTATTGTGAACGCTCTGTAATGCCTACTATCACTAAGCAAGAAATACATAGAGAAGTCAAACAGTACAAAAAGTACTATCACAAAAACGGCTGAGCCTGGAACCCCAGAGCACACGAACGAGCCGCGGCGGCGGCTCACTTGCTTGTGACGTCACAGCAATACTTAGCGGATAGCGCTTGCATTGGGGGACAAATTATTTCAGTTATTTAACTATAATTACTACTTATTTTATTTTAAGTTTTTTTCTGGCAATATATTTCCCAAAAGACATTTTTGACCGACCAGAACTTATTATTGCATTCCATATTGGGTCAAAACATTTTTATTTGTTTCAGTACATTTGCAAATTTATAAAATTATAATCATTAAAAACTAATTGTATACTTAATTAATTAATTGTAAACTAGAAAATAATAGATTTATGGTAAATTTATGACATTATTTTTCAACTATGAACAGAACGTACTCACATACATATGTTATGTATGTACCCTGCAGTACCAGTCATAAGTAATTCATCAACGTTTCATCAACAGTCAAGGGGGTGCTGATTGATGATTCATCGATGACAGGCCATACAAACTGTTGATGAATTTAACATGGGCATGTCATAGGCTGTCATCAATAAAAATGCATTAACAATTCATCGATGATTCATCAACAAAATGCCATTTTGGAAATATATTGTAAGAAAAAAAACTTAAATTAAAATAAGTAGTAATTATAGTTAAATAACTTAAATAATTTGTCTCCCAATGCAAGCGCTATCCGCTAAGTATTGCTGTGACGTCACAAGCAAGTGAGCCGCCGCCGCGGCTCGTTCGGGTGCTCTGGGGTTCCAGGCTCAGCCGTTTTTGTGATAGTACTTTTTGTACTGTTTGACTTCTCTATGTATTTCTTGCTTAGTGCTACTATCATTTTTCATTTGGAACTGGCAATATCCTGACTTAAGGGATAGACCACCCTGAAGCTTTTAAAAAATAGTTTTTTTTTTGTAATGCCAATTCTTATGGTAATTTTAAGACACCGGGCTTAAAAATATCTCAATTTTTGTGGATACTACAGTCGTTTGAAGTGAGCGCTGTCGGTTTACTTTTCTTTTGCAGTTTTCACAAAAATACATTTTTTAGTACGGTGTACAGGATTTCTCAAAAACTGTTAGACCGATTCTTTTAAAATTTTTTTTACACAGCCTTTCTTTGACGCCCTCTATGTCATGACGTAGGATCTTTTCGAAATGATTTTTTTTTAAGTTAAAATTGTTTAAATCAAAGTGCTCTATTTGCTAAAAAAAGTTGTTTAAAAAAAACCGCTACGTCATGCCATAGTTATATATTTATATAGTTAAGAAAAATTGTATTTACAGATGTGCTGTGCCGCATATACACCATACGAGCGTTCGCTTAAAATAGTGCCTTATTTTTTTTCTTCCAATAAGTATATTGGCCGTAAGGACTTTCCTTTAAGCTTTAATACTTTTCTGTTCTGGGTTCTCTTAATTGCTATCAGTCTTTGATTTTAAGAACTCGTTCTTGATTATTTTTCATATCAAACGCTTTCTAATTTTCTGCCCACAGCTTCTCCTTCTCTCTGAAAGAGAAGAAAAACTTCCTTCTTGTTCATTGTCATTTTGAATGCGTTGCACTCCGTTACGAGTGTGGAGATTAGGCTCAAAAATAAACACGCACTGGAACAGGTCTAATGATAGCTAACACCCTCAGCTCGTTTGAATGGTATTTCTCATCATATAGTGAGTTCTCGCGGGAACCTTCAGCAACAATCAGTGTGTAGGGATCGATGCTGCCGCAACGGATCCTTAAGTTGAAAGTAGCTAAAGCGACGCAGTCGGAAAAAATATATAATATATATATAAATATAAGAAGTCGGGGGCATCGTCGGGTGATTTCAGCGTGTCAGCTTTATTGGGATCAATACATATTACTAATTAGCTTTGCCATATGGGCCGCGCTCCCGACCGATAAGCTAAGCTAAGAAATGCGAGAGCGTGTCCGAAAAGTGGAGCCCGAACTAGCCGTCCCTCAGCTTGCTTAGCAGTGAGAGAAGCTCGGGAGCGGGCGATCGCGAATACCGAAGAGAGAAGAGCGGATGCACGTAGATTTACTCGATGAGCAGTGCGCGAAAGGCATGCAGAAATGCAAGAGCGGCAGAGCTTTTGGAAGCTTTGTCGACGGAGGCGGCGCAGCGGCCGCCGCGGGTTGTCTCCTGACGTGAATATCCTCTCCCTCTTGCAATTACCCGGGTTGCAACGTATCCGTCCCTTTAAAAAAACGGATGAAGGAGACGAAGCGACAGCCGCGGTCTGCAGGGCGATGGAAATCGCCTATGCGCATCGGAGTAAATTGCCGGGGGAAGGCGAAGGATCCTAGGGAGACATCGACGTCCGTAGCGGATGGAGTTCTGGTACGTCTGTCATCCAGAGCGCTCGTGGTGCGGGAAGCGGTGATGTCTTCTCGAAGAGGCCTTGAAAACATAAAGCACATAGATGAGTGGTCATTAAAGGTGCGAAGTAGGTATACGTTCTTGGGCCAAACAGTTGTAATAATAGCGGTTGGTGGACACACTAAGCCTGAGGAACAGTTGGCATTTTCGTAACAGATGGATTCGGATGGACCCGGCAACGGTAGAAGTAAGTGCCTATGGAACGCCTGCTTTTGATGTCGTCGTGCGGAAGGAATCGGGAG